CTTCATGTAAAAAGAATAAGTCTATGTAACTGCTATTACAGCATTTCTTACTGTATCAAATAACATGTCACAATGTTTCCTTTATTGAAACATCAAACCAATAAGGCTCTCTTTTAGTTCTCTGGGCAAAATAATAAAATAACACGGCATTTAAATCCTCACACAAGAACAATGCAAAAGCAAAGGGCCTTAGGGAGAGCTGCATCTTCCTTTCCATGAGGGTTGGGTGTGGAAATGTGGGGGATGGGGATCGCTGACGCTTCATTCACATGCATAATATATCAAACTTAAAGACAAGAAGAGTTGAACTGGTGCAGAAGGACATCCAGCCTTCCATATTAAATGTACAGAATCTGTATAGAAGTTGTGCCACTGACTTAAGTTGAAAGCACTTTTCATGTCTTGAAGGTCAGATTTTTTATGGCAACACAAAGGCTACAACAAATGCGTGAAGCGGACTTAGGTCTTTGTATCTGAGTAATTTCAATAACAAAGTTTCCCCAACTGAATGATTGCACAACTTAACAGTTGTGTGCTTTTCGCCTGAGGGTGTTTAAAGTACTTCTCACTTCTGATGAAGCATTACATACCGACTCCTCTCCTGTTCCAGTTACAATCAACATGGTCTCTGTGTCACAACAAATGCATGCTGTATTAGCATTAAGCATTAAGAGTCATAACAACTATTATGTTTAGAACACAACTATAAATATCATTTCCTTGTATGATTGATTGATCTACAACATTTTTATATGTCAAAGTTCATGCAACCCACCAGTTTTAGTTGCTTATTTGAATACAGATGCATAATGGTGCTTTTCTTCCACATTTGCTTGAATAATGAGATCCTCAGTTCTAAGCATGCTTTATAATTCTGGATTTTAACTATTAAAGTTACAGTAACAAACCCTGTTCTATGGTCTTTACATGCATGTGTTTTCTTGTGTGTGTCTCTTCCCCTCCCCCCACCCTACATGAAGAGAGAGAGAGTGTGTGTGTGTGTGTGTGTGTGTGTGTGTGTGTGTGTGTGTGAGTGTGTGTGTGTGTGTGTGAGTTGAGGGAAGCAGTGTAGGGGACGTGATAGGTATCTGCTCTCTCAAATAACAGCCAAATTTCCTGCAGTTTCATGCAGTTGCAGAATAGTGACGATTCAATGCTTATGTGTGTTTGCGGAAGAAACAATGAATGGAAAGTTTAAGGGAGGAGAGAAAGCAACTTTGTCCACTTCTACTCTGCACAGTAACAGCTAAATGCAAAAACTAACTTTAAATACAAGTTTTTAGGACGATGCCATCATGAGACGGGGCTACATATATGAACTGGAATAAATAGGTTACATTTGCCCTCATTCGGTACAAAAGGCTGCAGGATAAATGCGATGTATTTTGTTGTGCATAATTTTCAGTCAAATTAGACCAGTTTTAAGTATATTTGGGCTAACAGAGAGTTTTAGAATGAATAAAATACTACCTTAGCAAAACAGAGTTCATAATTTCATTTTCAAAACTATGTCAAATGTAATTTCCACCACAGAGTAGTATTAAACATAATACATCTTGATGTGTTGGAAATATTAATGACTTTTGAACATTTAGGCTACTACATAAACTAGCATGAAAGTGTGTTTTAAGAGAGTTTACTTTCTAAAATTACCCATTGTCCTTAGTTTAAGCTGAAAACATCTATTAACTAATGTAAACTTTGCACTATTAGTAGTTCTATCGTGGTTTGAATATAAAATAAAGATATTTTATAAAACGTGTGTTTTGTAACTTTTTTTGTAAACATATTTACGTTATTATTCTTCACTTCGCCTAGATACATACGGGTACCTTCTGCAGGTCGTGGTTTATGAAGGGACATTTGTTTACACTGCATGAACGGTTCTTTTGAACAGTTCGTCGAAGCAATTCAGTGATTCTTTTACGTGAGGACGTTATTGCGTCACCACGTGGTCCGCCGATGTCCCAGGGCAGCGTGGCACACTGCATGCTCTTGACGGTTTCAATAAAGCCACATTTTTGTTTACTACATTTTTATTTAGTTTAATGTTTAGCAGAACAGTTTGGTTCAGCTCATATAAACAATTCATTCAGAGCCTATACTTAATAATATATACTTAATACTTATGCAATCATCTTTCACAACTCCTCTAGGGTAATTTTTGTATGTTTTAATACAACTAAATTCGATACAACTGTTATAAACATAGCTTACTCCCAGTGCATTTTATTTTAAACACTTTTGATATTGGTGTTTCTTATTAAGGTTTGTGTTCATTACGAGTCGAACAAAGTAACAAAAGTAATACTTGAGATGAGTCAAGTGACCGTTGGGATTGATTCATAAGTGTTTTGATTCACTAAAAAGGAACGGGATCATACGAGTCACTTGTTCATGGGAATCAAACTACGCCGGTGTATATGTATTTGATTCACTAAAATGAATCGACTCATTAGAGTGATTCATTTGATAATCACGCTACAGTTCGGGATGTGTGTTTTTGATTCTCCTTCCTTTTAGCCACATTTTATATACACAAGCAAAAATGTGCTGGCTCCAACCCTATTTTTCTTTATTCAGAGTTGACTTAGTATATAAAATTGTATATGGACTTAGTATATGGAAGCTTAAGTATGCCTATATGGAAACTATCCAAAATTCTGTTCACCCGAAAGCAATGAAAACTGTATTTCTTTATTCATCCTTTGTGTCTTCGTAAGCCGTAAATGTATTACGTTGTTGTTGTTTACCCTGGCTGGTTGCATGTACTTTTTTTTTCTCTGTCTTTTTTATTTTCCTTTGCTTTGTTTTGTCTCTGTATGTAATTATATGTATGTAACATACTGTTTAATAAAAAAAAAAAAGTGTTTTTGATTCTTCTGTTTCGCGAACCAGTTCAAATGATTCATTGCAAAGATCCGACTCAACTGTGCGTTAACGAATCGGACACGAATCTCTCTCTCTCTCTCTCTCTCTCTCTCTCTGAACGCAACAGCTGCACAGTGAGTGATTTAGAGTGTGTGTGTGTGTGTGTGTGTGTGTGTGTGTGTGTGTGTGTGAGTGTGTGTGTGTGTGTGTGAGTTGAGGGAAGCAGTGTAGGGGACGTGATAGGTATCTGCTCTCTCAAATAACAGCCAAATTTCCTGCAGTTTCATGCAGTTGCAGAATAGTGACGATTCAATGCTTATGTGTGTTTGCGGAAGAAACAATGAATGGAAAGTTTAAGGGAGGAGAGAAAGCAACTTTGTCCACTTCTACTCTGCACAGTAACAGCTAAATGCAAAAACTAACTTTAAATACAAGTTTTTAGGACGATGCCATCATGAGACGGGGCTACATATATGAACTGGAATAAATAGGTTACATTTGCCCTCATTCGGTACAAAAGGCTGCAGGATAAATGCGATGTATTTTGTTGTGCATAATTTTCAGTCAAATTAGACCAGTTTTAAGTATATTTGGGCTAACAGAGAGTTTTAGAATGAATAAAATACTACCTTAGCAAAACAGAGTTCATAATTTCATTTTCAAAACTATGTCAAATGTAATTTCCACCACAGAGTAGTATTAAACATAATACATCTTGATGTGTTGGAAATATTAATGACTTTTGAACATTTAGGCTACTACATAAACTAGCATGAAAGTGTGTTTTAAGAGAGTTTACTTTCTAAAATTACCCATTGTCCTTAGTTTAAGCTGAAAACATCTATTAACTAATGTAAACTTTGCACTATTAGTAGTTCTATCGTGGTTTGAATATAAAATAAAGATATTTTATAAAACGTGTGTTTTGTAACTTTTTTTGTAAACATATTTACGTTATTATTCTTCACTTCGCCTAGATACATACGGGTACCTTCTGCAGGTCGTGGTTTATGAAGGGACATTTGTTTACACTGCATGAACGGTTCTTTTGAACAGTTCGTCGAAGCAATTCAGTGATTCTTTTACGTGAGGACGTTATTGCGTCACCACGTGGTCCGCCGATGTCCCAGGGCAGCGTGGCACACTGCATGCTCTTGACGGTTTCAATAAAGCCACATTTTTGTTTACTACATTTTTATTTAGTTTAATGTTTAGCAGAACAGTTTGGTTCAGCTCATATAAACAATTCATTCAGAGCCTATACTTAATAATATATACTTAATACTTATGCAATCATCTTTCACAACTCCTCTAGGGTAATTTTTGTATGTTTTAATACAACTAAATTCGATACAACTGTTATAAACATAGCTTACTCCCAGTGCATTTTATTTTAAACACTTTTGATATTGGTGTTTCTTATTAAGGTTTGTGTTCATTACGAGTCGAACAAAGTAACAAAAGTAATACTTGAGATGAGTCAAGTGACCGTTGGGATTGATTCATAAGTGTTTTGATTCACTAAAAAGGAACGGGATCATACGAGTCACTTGTTCATGGGAATCAAACTACGCCGGTGTATATGTATTTGATTCACTAAAATGAATCGACTCATTAGAGTGATTCATTTGATAATCACGCTACAGTTCGGGATGTGTGTTTTTGATTCTCCTTCCTTTTAGCCACATTTTATATACACAAGCAAAAATGTGCTGGCTCCAACCCTATTTTTCTTTATTCAGAGTTGACTTAGTATATAAAATTGTATATGGACTTAGTATATGGAAGCTTAAGTATGCCTATATGGAAACTATCCAAAATTCTGTTCACCCGAAAGCAATGAAAACTGTATTTCTTTATTCATCCTTTGTGTCTTCGTAAGCCGTAAATGTATTACGTTGTTGTTGTTTACCCTGGCTGGTTGCATGTACTTTTTTTTTCTCTGTCTTTTTTATTTTCCTTTGCTTTGTTTTGTCTCTGTATGTAATTATATGTATGTAACATACTGTTTAATAAAAAAAAAAAAGTGTTTTTGATTCTTCTGTTTCGCGAACCAGTTCAAATGATTCATTGCAAAGATCCGACTCAACTGTGCGTTAACGAATCGGACACGAATCTCTCTCTCTCTCTCTCTCTCTCTCTCTCTGAACGCAACAGCTGCACAGTGAGTGATTTGCAAACATTGAAAGCAAGGCATTTCGTCCGGCTAACAATTGGCTAACTCAGCTAATCAGATTTCCAGAAAGAAATAAGCTACCAAACTAACACCCCAGATATTATTAGTTACTATAGCGATTGTTGGCACACAATAAGAATACCTGACGAAGTCTGAACATAAAGGTAGGTAACGTTATGGAGGGTGAGTTCCTTATTTTCAATATCACTCATCGCTAGCGTGTCGTTAGCCAAATTTCTATTATCAGCACGAGCACAGGGTGATCTAACCTCACCAAAGTTAACGAACTGGGACATATGCTTTAGTTTAACACCGATACTCTGTTATATGAAACGAAATAGAAGAGGATGATAAAGTTGGTGTCTCTTTTTGTTATGCAGGAACTGCATTAAGATCTGATGTTCTTCCTTAACTTAAAAGGGGAAAGAATAGAAAACAACTTGACAAAAGTTTCAGCCATCCCCCAAAAACAAAGTCATAAAGTTGTTTTTTTTATATCAGCCCTCTTATTTCATACAATAATAGCTTTTGATGCAGCCATTGCAAAACAAGTTATTCTAATAGCTACAAAGAAGAAGGAACTTTTGTGTAAGTCTGGTCTGGTTGGTCGTAATAATGGTTTTATTTTATTATTTTTGGTTGAATATCTATTCCGGTTTGTTTTTATTCTTTCTTTTATCTAACTATATTGATGGTTTTAAGATAAGTTATTTATTCAAGTTATTTAACTTCTGCTTCACCATATAGTGATCTCATTGTTCTGTAGTAAAAACAACTTAACTGTAGTTAGGGAGGAGCTTTGTATCACATTCTGAAAAGAAATAAGGAAAAGAGGACATGCAGGTATATTGGCGAGGAGGTATGTAGTAAAATAACTACTAAAGCTGCTGATCAAGTTAGAATGATCACGTGTCAGGAAATTACAGCCACATTAAAGACACGCTTCCACACACGAGGCATTATTATCTATATGAACCATGATTTTGTTTATAAGGCGCGTCGTTTGTATAGTTTCTATTATGTTTTTGAAAAACCGATACTTCTAAACGTTGCATTATTACGTCAGTAACCGTCGTTTTAATTAGCAGCCATCCCCACATCTCTCCACTTGTGCTCGACGTCAGTGCTGCCCAGAAGTACTATTGTTTGAATAGCCTGTTTTACATGTATATGTGTGTGTATATATATATATATATGTATATGTGTGTGTGTGTAATATAGACACATCATATATAATATAGACTTCATGCATATAATGTTTTATTCAGTTTTGAGCTTTTTCTGAGATAATTACTGAGTGGTTTTCTGAAGTTACAATAACCAGTTTTTCACTTATTTGCATGAGCCATCCGCACCATTTATTGTTCAATGAGGCAGTTACTTCTAAGAACTTCTTTTGAGAAAATTGGATGGTTTGGGGGCCAACAAACATGCTATTCTTGTGAACAGGTTGCATGGCAAAGCCCAAACAAAAGAGTAAGACAAACACCAGCTGGTCTCTAGCTGTTTCTTCAGCATGTCAACTAACCGTGTTTTAGACTATTATAATGACTCAAGCATAGGTGGGGCCATTAACTTTATCATTTTGCACTATTTAGGTTATCTAAATAGAACCTTTCTGCATTTGAAAGTAAATGGCTTTGCTCAGGATTACTTTGTGATTACTATCTAAAGGACTTTAGATGAGAAGCTGAGACTGAGAAGCAAAGTTGTTGAGATCAGCACGGCAAGGCCTGTCATTAGAGTATGTCTGCATAATGTAAAAGAATTCGCAGATTGTTTTGTTTCTTTTTCACTTTTTTTTTTTTTTTAACAGTGGTTATTCGGTAGAAGCTTCCTTTTCAGCCTCCGTTTCTTTTTTTTTTTTCATCTTCAGCCTCTGTTTCTATTTTTTGTGCCTTACATTAGCGAAGCCTATTTTTGTGTTGCGTTTCCCTAAAAGTGAGTTTAACTAGTTGTGTGTATGTAGGGAATAGCAGGAGATTGTTGACATTTCATGATTTATTCTTTTTATCTTTTGTGTTTAAGGCATTGCTTTGTGTTGTAAAATAAGCACTTGTGTGTGTGTGCAGTTTAGAACTGATTGGCAAGATGCCTGAAACTTCACATTTAGTCTTGAATAAGAGTGTCATATGTTCATCTTGGGTGTTATATAATACCCTAAGACAAAGATAAATGTGGTTCCTCATTTTTATTGGCTTGTTTCAGCATGGAAGAAAGGCTAAAATGTTGCAGAACAATGCTGTGACTCCACCTTAGACCTCATGAGTGAGGTTTCACAGATATTGTGAAGGACACCGCTGTAGATAGGCATACAACTCTGGCTTCCTGTTGCCTCACAGTAATGCATCTAAAGAATGGCATTTTGTCAGTTTTGTCCCTGAAAAACTTTCTAAAAGATCTCAAATTGGGGTTTCCCTACTTGTGTAAATGTACCAATACAGAACAGTTGATGTCAGATCTATGTGTAATTTATTAGATCTCAGACAATGCTTTTCTTTGTTTGTTACATGTACATATTAACTGAAATTATACTTTCAGTAGGCACTTGGGCTTTGTGTATGTATGTATGCATGCATGCATATATAATTTTTTTTTTACTGTCCTGCATTGTGATTCTCTTATTAGTTAATTCTAACAGTGGTTTCCATTTAGTTTTTATAATTTGCCTAAGCAAAGACAAATTACATCAAAATAATTTGTCAAATGCTACTTGAAGCTTTAAAATGGCTGTTTATTTTTATAATATATTATTATAAGGTGTTCATGCCGTTTTTTTTATGTCCTCTTATTAATTGAGATTACTACATGGATATTTGAACAATTAAAAGTTGATTTGTCATTCTGCTGGACCATTAATATGAACTAGTGAAATAAAAAAAGTTGATTAAAAATTGTGAAGAATAAAGAAATTGAGATTTGTTGCAGCATATAAAACATTCAAGTTACAGCATCCCTTATACAAACTTGTATATCTTTTAACCTTAAATCTTATTAAAACATGTCTTGGTCATGGTGCAGCGACATTCCCAGTGGAATAACTTAGCAAAGAGGACTTTTCTCAAGGGCACAAATATTATAGACTAACACAGTACTCTCAACAAGCCTTTAGCTGCTGGTTTATTCCCAATTCAGATACTTTGGGGTCACAACCTTTGGATGTTAGCCCAGATCTTTAACCACAAGGTTACCATTGTGTTTCACCCAGTTTATGTTACCTCAAATAAT